CTGCCAAAGTCTAGTCTGTGCTGGATTGCTGCCAACGTCTAGTCTGTGCTGGATTGCTGCCAAGGCCCTGTCTGTGTGTTAATAAATCCTTGAAGTATCTTTGTCTCGGCGTGCTTTGGTGTAGGACGAGGGGGGTCGTAACAGGTGAATATGTAAAAAAGCTAAATATCCAGATATATGTAAAATATCACGTGTGTGGGTGTGCGCACACTTTATATATATAGGGTTTTTATTTTATGCTTGATGGACAAACAGATTTTAAAAAACCCATGGAATACCTATACGACAACAGCAAGGCGTTATTATATGCAAAGATGGAATGACTCAAATATGCCCAGAATGATAGAATGGATGGTGAAATTAATGGAATTGGTGGAGATTGTGAAACTGACTGCTTTGATTAAAGAAAATACTTTGCTTAACTCCCTTTCTATTTGGGACCACCCTTTCATTTTTTTTGTTTGAAATTGAAAGAAATGAAATTTTAGCCTTGGATTTTGGTGATTAGATTAGATTTGATTTGGTGATTAGATTTGTAATGATAAAAGAATTGTCTGTTATGGTTTATTCTATTCAAAGAATCATTGGTTTTTAGATTTTTATCTGTATGGCAGATCAAAGGCAGAAATTACTTTTTTCAATAGCTTTTTTGTTTATTTCTTTGCACTCTCCAATTTTGCTTTTTTTCCTACCCCCTTTCTCTTTCTAATTATTTTTTCTCTAATTTTTTGCATTTTATACTTTTTTGACGTTTAATAATTTTTTGGGGTGTGTGTGGAAAGGTTGAGGGACTTGGGGACAATGACTTAAACGTAAAAGATTTGGTTAAATGTGTACTTAGATGCAATTTAAATTATTTTTCATATTTTTGAACTGCCCATCTGCCTCAGAGAATGACTCTGGACAGTGTACAACCACGTTAAAATATAAAAGATTAAAAAATTAAGAGGAAGCAAGGATTATTAAATCCAGTCTACAGAAAGTTGTCACAAAAATCTTGGACTGGAGAATATCCTATTACCATGTTCTTCTGTTTCTTAAAGATTCAGAGTGCCTCTGAAGAGTGTTCGAAGACTGCATTTGGTCCAGAATGCAGCCGCGTGAGCGATAATGGGTGTACCTAGATACATCCATGTTACACCTATCCTCCGCGAGCTGCACTGGCTCCCCATTGGTCTCTGGACCCGCTTCAAGGTGCTAGTCGTTACTTTTAAAGCCCTACATGGTATTGGACCTGGCTACCTGAGAGAGCGCCTCCTGCCATTTACGTCCCAAAGACCGATG